CTTTTCAAAGTGCGAAAAGCAGCTATCTCTTGCGCACTCGAACTGCCTTCCACTAGGTCAAATGTTCAAACTGAAGGACTCATCAATCCTCTTTCTCTGGAACTGGACAGGCCGAAATCTGAAATGTTACGTGCATATTGATATATGTTGCGCTTCACTGCAATACTAATACCTGCTTTCACGAGAACTGTCTTAATTATAGAGACAGCAGTCTATCCCTGTTTCACGGACCTCACTTCACGGATACAGGAATATTTACCACATGAGGTCACATGTGAAACTGTAAAGTAACGGCCACTCATACTGCGAAAGATCTGGACGTTTCACAAAACTGCGCAAGGACGCATGATTTTGAAAGCAAATCCAGTACGTTCAGCCACTGATTGTTAGTGACAGCGGTAGAAGCACAATGTTTCAAAACTGTTTTACCATTGCTAACGTGAATCCTTGCTTCAGTAGTAGCAATTTTTCTTCCTGCGTAATTTTTTTCAGCCCTTCTATTGAGTTCAAAAGATCAGAAATCCTCTCGACGGCATCATCCGTGCTTGTCATGATAGCATTTTCCGGGAATGCTTTACGATATGCCGCAATAACATTGCTGCTCATTTTCATTACATCAAACTTCATCCCTTCAAAAATCATTTCTTGAAACGTATTTCTAAAATCTAGATAGAAGCTCGTGTGCACTTATAAAGCATTGGCATGATACAGACCAGGCGAAAGCACTGTGAAATCAATGCTCTTAAAACATCTGTGTTCAAGTGCGCATGTCGTTGTAAAAGCCAAATCAGCTTAGATCACATTTTATGTCTCGGCTTTTTTATGCGTTTTTGCACACATGCAAATTGCAAAAGCACATATTGGGAAGAGACTGTCTGTGTGTGTGTGTGTGTGTCTGTGTGTTTGCACTGTTTGTTACCCACTTTCAACTTGAGAACCAGAAACGCTAGAAGGCTGAAGCTTTGGGAGTATGTGCTCATTGCGATGCGCGACCCTCCCGCTTTAATTTCATCCCCCTCGAGCGCCTAGGTGCCGTGTACGATGCTTTAAAAAAATATGCAAACTTTTGGCGAGAAAGCGATCTTGGGAAGCAAATAAGCTAAGGGACATTCAGTAGGGATACTCCCTGTGCATGTACTAGCTAAGGGTTTCAAATTCAGCCCCCAAATATGCGTGATACTCACTTAAAGGCGTACGAAAGTTTTAAAGGGGAAATTAGAAATTACTAACTCGGGTGCCGGGAAGTCTAGAAGGCTGATATTTTGGGAGAATGTTTCTTATCCAGGTATAACTCAAATATTTTAAATTTACCCCCTAGGCTGTTCCTGGTACTCATGTAAGGGCGTTTAAAATTTTCTGTGGGAAGATTACTAACTCGACAACCAGAAGAGCTGGAAGGTCGAAATTTTAAGTGGATTTTCCCTGTCCACGCGCAATTTAAAATCTTCAAATTCAGGTTTCTAGGCACTTGGAGTACCCAAGCATGGACATGTGAAGGTTTTGGCGAGAAAATTGCTAACTCGGTAACAAGAAAAGCTAGAAAGCTGGAATTTTGAGGGAATGTTCCCTGTCCAAGTACAACTCAATTATTTCAAATTCAGCGTTGAGGTATGCGTGGTTCTTATGCACGGGCACTTAAAAGTCTTGACGAAAAAATTTCTCACTTAACAACTAGGTTACTTTTAAAGAAAGGCTGTTAGATGGAAACTGTACGCTTACTTTGCAAAATTTATGCTTATTTATGATAGTGATCGCAAAAGGTAGGTGTAAAGCAACAACCATTCAGACAGTTAATGACCTGAGCAATTCAAGTCCGATGCAAAAACACATGATCGCACGGGCCCGCTCGGTTCCTTCCAGCCTGGGTCTTTTTATGCTTTTTTTGCATCTGTGTAATGCAAAAGGGCATATTATCGAGGGATTGTCTGTGCCTGTGTGTGTATGTCTGTGTGCTCGTCTGTACCAATTTTTATGCGTTTTTGCCGTGCAGCGCTAGAGCGCTGGAACAGGCAGCAAAAACGCATATTGCAACG